GGCCACCCCGGCGCCGGCCCGCCCCACCCCGCCCTCTGTTTACTTTATTCTGCCAATAGCCGAGCGGACGCTCCCCGCGCCGCCTTGCCATTAGTCTGTCCCTCCACCATCCCCGCCCTCCGAGCCGGGGATTGGCTCAAAGGGGCCGGTGGACGGGACTAACGCGTCACCTCTTCCTGGTTGGCCTGCAGGCGGGGTTCGGCCCCTAGGTTCGAATTTCTAGGCCTTTGTAGGATATAGAACTGCCAATTAGCGCCTAGTCCTCCGCGAGGAAGACGGAGGTGGGACCTCGGGGGCACGCCCAAGACGCCGGATGTGTAATTGAATGAAGGAAGCGTCGGTCTCCTCGGTAAGGCATACTGATTGGGCCATCAGCTGGGGCTTGGCCCGGGTGCCTTAGGCTCGCGGTAAGCTTTTCTAGGGTTCTGTCGCGGCCACGCTTGGTGTCTTGCGGGCGTCCTGCGGCCCGGCCTCGAGCAAGCTTAGGCCACGCGTCCTGCCTTGTCTGGAGACAGAAGCGAGGAGAGGCTGGGGAGAAGGCTAACTGTCTCCACTTCTTTCCCCGGCCTCCAGTCCGGTAGCTGATGGCACCCCCGCCCCGCACCCGCACCCGGATGTTGTGATTCCTCTCCACCCACATTGCCTCGCCCGCCCTTGGCCTCTGCGGCTTGTAAGGCAGCGTTAGCCCCCTAGACGTTGGGATTCGCTGACACCCATTATACAGGTGGGGAGCTGAGGCGCCGAAAGTTAAGTGGTTGACCCCCGATCGAAGTCTAGGGGGAAAACGAGGCCAAAATTTTAGAGCAAATCCGCATTGTCTAGCTCAGCACCCCACTTCCTCCACCCACAGTTAGCAGAGCAGGAAACGGAGACTTTCCCAAACCCAGGGAGAAAGAGCCAGGTTCAACTACGCTCTCTGTTCCTGTTCGTTCATTCATTCTCCCAAAAATACTTACAGAGCACCTGCCTTGTCTCAGGCACCGAGCCAGTTACTGAGGAATACAGTGGTGTCGGCAAGATAGCCAAGCACTCGGCTTACACGCTCAAGGGGGCAGGAGGGTGACACATGAGTACGGAAGCAGAGGCAATAGCAAGTCTCAGATCTCTAAAACTGGAATAAGTTTAATGAGGAAGAAATGTCCAGGCCCCATGGGTCTGAGATGAGACAGGATTAAAGGCACTTGGCTAGATCATGGATAGCTTTGTAGACCACAGTAAGGAGTTTGTTAGCAGAAGTGAAATGTGAAGGCTTGGAAAGGATGGTTTATACTTTAAAAAGATCACTGTAATAGACTCACAGGCAGCTAAGATTAGAAGAAGAGAGAGCAGTTGAGAGGCTAGAGAATTTCAGGGGAGAGTAACAAGGAGGTGTGGAGTTGGAGCAAAGTGGATGTGTCTAGGACACACTTGGGAGTAAGAGAAAACCCCAGTGACCAGTGGCACAAAGGGCAGGTGCTTCACCCAAAGAAGGCCGTTTTGTTCAAGAGAGACCTGAGGGTTAGATGAGAGTGTGTGTCTTTCATAGTCACTAGAGTGGGACTGGGCGACTGTGGCCCATGCCTGTAATCCCTCACTCAGGAGACTGAGGCAGGATTACTGTGATTTCAAGGCCAGTCTGGGCTACATAGTGAGACCTTGTCTTAAAAAAAAAAATTAAGTTAGTGAAGAGGGGAGAGAAAGAACATCAGGTAGAGGGACACTATAAGTTCAGATATCTGCAGAGAGAAGAAAGAAGGGCTCATGAGTTCAGCACCCAAGGCAGAGTGTGAGGCTAGAGTTTAAAGGCCGTAGGAGCTTCCTGAATCAAAGAAGACCTTAGAAGCCAGGTAAGGAGTTTGGATTTCATTTTCTGGGTAGAGGGGAGCCTTCAGGTAGGGAGGGGCAGATTTTAGGCAGAGGAGTAGTAATGTGATCAGTTTACTTTCCCGAAGGAATTCTGGCTGCACTGTGAAGGACAGGGTAGGAATGAAGTCAGGAGGCTGATTGGTAGACACCTGAGCAGCTGAACACCCTCCCATTTGGGAGTAATGCTATGAGATGCAGAGGCAGGCCCTGCCTCCAACTAGGGAGATGAAAGAGGGGAGACACTTTCCTCTCCCAGATCCCTGGTAGCTGTACCATGTTTCTAACCAGATCTTTGAAGCCAAGTAAGAGATCAGCATAAGCCATCAGTGGGATCATTCAAACTTCACTGTGGAGGTGGTGGAGGGGAGATGGAAGAAGTCAAGCCAGGCCTCTCCTTGGGAAGAGGATTTGGCGAGTGCCCCAAGAGCTAGCTGTCTGGTCAGTCTCCTGTCTTTTTAATGTACCCAGAATTGGCCTGGTTGTCTGTACCTAAGTATCTTGAGAGATACCTAACCTCCCTTTAGGAGAAACCATTAGGGAATTATGCTAGGGCAGTAGCAGGGGTGTGTAGACAAGTGGGCAGCTTGGAAGGTATCAGTCAAAGTGATATCTTTTACTTTATTTTATTTTAGTACCGGGAATCGAACTCAGGACCTTGTGCTTGCCAGACAGGCACTGTGTCACTGAGCTCTATCCCTGGCCCAAAGTGATGTCTTTTAAGAGGAGAATTTGCTACCAACCATCTAAGATGTGCATCTCTAGGAACCTGGTTTATGAATACCATTGCATTTAAGCAAAAGAAGAAATCCTCAAGGTTATTTATTGCAAAGTTGCCTGAAAAGATAGCTTACATTAATTGCCCTTAATAGAAATGGGTTAAATACAATTTAGTCCTTTCCATACAGGAATACTGTGTACTGATTAAAAGTGTGAGTGGATCGAGGGTGTAGCTCAATTTCAGAGTACCTGGCTAGCATGTAAGAGATGCTGGGTTTAACCCTCAGCTCTCAAAAAAGAAAACTTATGCTTATGTACTTATATACATGATTTCCAAGTTACATTGCAAAATTTTTTAAAGAATCAAGATGTAAAACAGCATGTAAGGTTTACTAACATTGTGTAAGATGGGCCAGGATAGACTAGGTTAGGCTGCAGTAACAAACCATCCCAAGTTTCAGTGATCTAAAACAACAAATTTAAACCATGTGTGGTGGCACACACCTGTAATCCCAGCACTCAGGAGGGTAAGGCAGGAGGAGCACTGTGAGTTCAAAGTCAGCCTGGGCTACCTAGGGAGTTCAAGGCCAGCCTGACTATATAGTAAGACCCCATATCTTGGTTACTTTTCTCATGTTGCTGGGACAAAATACCCAACACCTAAATTAAAGAGGGAAATATTTATTTATCTCACAGTTTGTGGAGGTTTTAGTCCATAATCAGCTGGCTCCAGGGCAGGGTGGCATGGCACAGGGGCAACACTTCAGAGCAGCAGAAGACAGCAAAAGCAACAAGAAGAGCAAAAGGGGGAGGGAAGGAGGAACAAGAGAGCAAACCTCTTTTCCTCCCTTATCTTGTACACAGGCTTTCCGCCCCAGGGTGGGTGCAATATTCACACCTATAATCCCAGCATTGGACCATGAATCAATCACAGACTCTAGAAGCCCTCTTCCATGACTGCATGAGGCTTTGGGGGGACAGCTAGATACAGAGCATAACACCTCACAAGAAGCACAGCATACTTTTTTTTCTCATGTACATCACATGTCCAACTCAGGTTGTGAGGGGGTGGGGCAGCTGTATTGATGGTAGGCCAGGACCCGAGGGTGATGAGGATGATAGGGATTCATCTCAATTTGTGCTTCTACAATGTCAGGCAGTGAAAAAAAAATGTGGTACATTATACAATAGCCCTCAAAGCACAAGTTAATTTTGCTCACATTTCATTGGTCAAAGCAAACCACATCACCACAACTGCAGTCCTGTGTCACTTAATGCCTAGGATACCTTCTAAGAAGGGCATCAGGGGATTTTGTCATTGTATAAACATTACAGAATGTCCTTAGATGAATCTAGATGGTTCAGGTCTACCACTGCACATGGCCTCTTATTACAATTGAGAGATTTAGTAAACATAAAATGGATAAGGCCAGCATACTGTTGTACAATAAGTTTTTTTTTTCTGGCCTGGGGAATTGAACTCAGGACCTTGTGCTTGCCAGGCAGGTGCTGTGCCACTAAGCTATATCCCTAGCCCAAGCTTTTTTTATAAGGAGTACACTCTAAAATAGCCATAGGACCAGGTACATCTTCCAGCTACTCCAGAGCATGTGAGTTCAAAGTCAGCCTGGGCTACCTAGAGAGTTCAAGGCCAGCCTGACTATATAGTAAGACCCCATATCTTGGTTACTTTTCTCATGTTGCTGGGACAAAATACCCAACACCTAAATTAAAGGGGAAATATTTATTTATCTCACAGTTTGTGGAGGTTCCAGATTGTGTGAGCCCAGGCATTCCAGCCCAGCCGTGACAACATAGTAAGATGCCATCCCAAAAATAAAGAAAATAACAATTAAAGTATAGTAAATGCATAAATTGGGAACATGGTAGTTCATTATCACAACCAAGTGTTGTGGACTATACATAATTAGCATACTCAGGGTCTTGGATAAGCTAGGCATGTGGTGTACTGCTGAGGTATACCCCAGTCTCTATTACTATACTTTTGTAAGACTGGCAGCACCATAGGTTGGTGTATACCAGTGTCACCACAAACACATGAGTAATGTCTTGTGCTATGATGTTATCACAACTATATGGTCACTGAGTAATAGGACTTTTTTAGCTTCATTATAATCTTATGGGACCACCACCCATTTTGGTTATTGACTGAAATGTCATTGTGCAGTGCATGTCCTGTCGCGGCAACTCATATTTTCTGAAGATGAGTGTAGCGATATGCTTGAGGTCCTTGAGGTCCTTCTGCAGTGTGACCTGGTCACTTGCACGTGAAAAGATAGAGTCTAACTTCCTTCTTGAATTTACTCTGCCCTTGCTCTGCCCTTTATGACTCTCGCCATCAGTAGAATATAGTGCAAATGATGCAGGTCAATTTCTGAGGCCAGGTCGGAAAAGGCCACACAGCACAGTTCTCTTGAAATATTTGTTCTCTTGCTTTTTCTTGGGTTATTCCCCTCAGAATCAGCCACTGCTGTGAGAAGCTCAAGCCAAATGAAGAGGCCACATGTGCCTGCTGTGCTATGGATGACAATCCCAACTGAGCCTAGTCTTCCAGTTTTTACACCTCAAGCATCAGACCTATGAGTGAAGAAGCTTCCAGAAGATTCTAGTGGCTGGCCATGTAACTATCCCTGGCTGACAAGCCTGCCATTGTGGAGCAAACAGCAGTCACCCCTGCTGAATTCTGCCTGAATTTCCAATCCATAGAATCCATCAGCCTAAAAAAAAAGACTTGTTTTAAGCTACTAAGTTTGAGTGTTTATTCCT